CAGAGAGGTGGCCAACCCTTGACTTGGCGGAGGAGTATGAAGGAGATCACGAAACGCTTGGGTGCTGTCGGTGCTACTCGCCTTCCAGGATGGGGACCGCGTGATCCTCACTGTGCCTGGTTGGAGACACTACAAGATATGGCTGCCAACCGATGTCAGTGGCGTTCTTGTTGTCAGTTTCTATCCAGATTGCCTGAGTGAATGTCTGGAGGTGTAGGCACCTCGGAATGATTGTGTTAAGCTAGCACTAAGTCCCTTCCCCATCCACCTTTATTCTTCTCTATACAATAAGGCTTTCAAATAAGTCATGGTTGTACGGCAGTGAAGCATCGGTGTCGAACACTGATGCCAGGCTGTCGATGGTGATGATATTCGTGGGAATCATAGGCCGGAACTTCTGAGGCATGTTTCGCTGGAATAGATACACGAGTGGAGTTCGGCTCACCCCCATAAACATCCGCTTTTGATTGAGCTAACGTCCCCAAAGACGTTACGATCTAAAGTGTTCTCCAGCGTGAACGGCAATCCTGCGAAACGAAAAGCATATTTCTTAACAGCGGCTCAAATCTGTCATATTTGAGAGCCCTGGTAGAATAAACTTAAAGGACTACTTTTCTGTCAGACGGATGCTGTTACGACAAAAATACCGGTATTACATATTTCTCGCCTAATTGAGCCTTGTATTCGCCAAATACCTTCATTTACGCTGCTTTTTGCGAACCACAATTCGCTGAATTCCGTTGGGTAAACGCTTTGTTGTAGAAAAAATCCCCCAGACTATATTTGGACTAGAAAATATTTTGTCTGTTCTACTAAATTATCCACTTTCAAATCGAATCTTTCTCATTTACTCCACCTGGTTGCACCTGATTGATCAAACGCCTGAAAAGCGTCGGTCGCCACAATGCAATCACTGGTGGATCTGTTCATTCGATAAATGAATAAATCGTTTTGTCTGTTCTGGCTTTCGTTTTGAATCTCATTTATAACTACCCAAGGCACTTCTACAAAAGGTGATGCAGCAATCACTAGATAACTTGCTTGTAGCTACACTGTCACGCCGTTTGACTGCTGTTTGCTTTCATAATTGAAAACTCCACATTGTGTGCGATCAACGGGGGGGGGGAATAAACCCTCAGTAGATCACATTCCCGAGAATGGCAAGAATCACTCATCAGAAATCAGTAGTTAACATCTTTTTGCAGCTCCTCGTGTCTGCCCTAATGTCAGGTACAATCAGGAATTGCGCAAATTTCTTTTTAGTTAATTTCGGGATAATAGCTCACTGCTCTCAATCATCACTGATTTCTCCGTATCTTACTGCCTCCATGATCCTTAGTTAGGCCCTTGTACACACTGTACGCTCTGCTTGCATTCGATTTGATATATGTATGTCAATGTATTCCTAAAAAGTTTCCACCAAAAGCAACAACCCTCTCGTAATAATCCACGGTAAGAGAATGATAAAAGCAAGTCATCATTATGACCGAAGTTCGCCCGATTTCGAGCCATGTCATGGCATTCTGAACAAGACTGGTAAGTTCTGATCTGAAATAATGAATACATTACTCATGGAAGGCTCCTCGGGTCCTGATTAGTTACCTTATAAAGATGGTGCTGCTAACTGATACCCACTGCTTTGCTCTGCTACACAAAGTTAAAGAGATACTTAACGCATGAAGTGATGGATCGTTAAAGTCCTACAGGAGTTCACTAGAAAAATTTGTGAAAACAAACTATTTTAACCTGGCCAAGACAATTTTGAAAACGCACATTTAGGTGGAGTGTCCAGCGAACTAAAAAAAGTCATGGTCCATGCTCGGACAACGATCCTCGCGGAAGCCAAGAGTGAAAAAACGTTACGGAATTATTAACATTTTAAGCAATGTACCACTGAAAACGAAGACTTTTTGACGCACCGTGGTTTACAGCATACTTAATAACGATGCTATTTTCGCATCAAGTAGAGAATGCCCAAGTCAGTTACGACAATGTGCATATAATTCTCAAACAGTGCTTCTCAGGGTGGGTGCACAAGACACACCTCTTAGTGGTCTCTAAACAAACTGTATATACTGAAACAACATCAACGTTAAGGTCTAATAATCCCCTTCGACGGGTGACTACCGGCTTCATTCCTCTTGGGGATCACCAGGTAGGTGGTCGTGTGTAACAGTAAGATTCCAAAGTGAACATGTGGACATGAGGCTTGCTAAATAGGTTTGAGAATCCAGTTTATGGTGCCCAATTTCAAAATCATTATCCTTGTAGTCTACTTCATTCAAAGTGCGCTGTTGAAGCATAAATGAATAAAACCGACCAAGAGGATTTTTCTCAACCAAATTGCAAAGAAATGTAGTTCGGTAATTTCGAACAATTTGGGTTCAAGCAATGCTGACAGAAACCTGGGAACTGCGCCTACCTGATGAGCCCGATGAAGAGCAAAACCGGCCGTGTGATATCGAAGGGTTTTCAGAAACCTTGTGAGTAGTCTGTTACTTCAATGCGAAATAGCACAACACTCTTAATGACGACGTAAGTCTGGAAATTATGCAGCTAACCGCGTTCCACGCTGGAAACAACTATCATCGTGCACAGTAACACTTGTTTGCAAAAAAACGCCCAATTGTATTTGTAATTGTGCCACTGGTCTGAAAAAGTGCCTGGATATCTGGCGGGGCAACAAATTCGCACCCCTGATGAACAAGTCGATAAATCAGTGAATAATACTACGGCCATGGATTAGTGTTCTTGGCTCGATTCAACACAGGATATAGGGCAACGGAAGCTTGTCGAGCATTGATTTTGCCACACACTCTATCACTCACACATCCGTGATTGTTTGTTCAACAGCCTGCCATCCTCTAATTCCCAAATTTTAATCACTCTTCCCGGCAACAACCAGTAATGGCAGTAAATCCATGTATTCAATCCATAAAAGACGTCAACCTGATTCAATCGCACTGTGCATGGACGGGCTACTATAGGGATGGTATTTTTAACAGCTAAAGTGGCGAAAAGTTGGTTGTTCAAGCGTGTCAAATAAGCAGTTGTTAGAAACACTCATTCACGTAAAATTTGCTTCTTGTGTCGGGCTATTTAGAGCGCCGGTGTTACAGATGAGCGCACAAATCTATTAAAGCAAGTGTCGCATGAATTTATAGGCAACCGCTCACCTTAATGAGTTTGCCGCATATTACATTGAGAATCATCGACGGAACTTTGTGATTTGGACAGAGGGTTGCTGCAAACCGTATTTGCTTTAGAGGGATTTTTTATGCGTGCAGTTCTACTCATGAGGGCTTTAGTACGTCATCCAGGAGCACGAGAAAATCAAGTAGTCATATCACTGCACCCCCGAATCCGCTGCAGGTTATGAGATCAGTTAGAAACTCTTGGTTTGTGACGTGCTTGAGACGTCGGAAATCAACATGAAAAGAGACTGAATAGGTTTAATTGTTTTCTTCTCCATCTAGCAATAAACCAAATAAAAAAACTGAGCTGGCGCAGGCAATTAAGTTATATAAGTCCACCAGATTGCCCTTTTAGATCACTTGCCCAGCAACCATTCAACCAATCATGTACAAGGGAACAAGTCTCCTGGGTATTCGTTCCTACACACCATAGAACAACTTTAGTGAGTTTATTCCAACCAAACAGGTCAGTAAGTGATGCTCCTCAAAAGCGAAGTCAGCAACTAAAGATCCTGTCAAGGAAGTATTCTGAGGATGTTTTTTTTTAATTTCCGGGACAAAACACACAACTCCACTCAAAAACTGAGAAAAACTTACTTGGAAGAAACTCTGACAGTTTTATTACGGGGTTCACTGATTTCTTCTCACCAGCCTTCAGGCCAACGAGGTTGTTGAGCAAACGTTCAAAAATTGGATTCCCGTCCTTCCCTAGCTGAAGCAGCAAAAATCGTAAAAAAATCTTTTCATTTTGACTGCATGTGAGGAAAGTAAAAATCCATGAAATTCACAGCGCACACGATTTCGTCACTCAAGCAACCGGATTTATGAAAACAACGGTCTGTTATATTATTCACCCCTTCACAATTGGTTAATATAGTTGGTGGTCCAACAGATTTTTATCAATAATAGTTGTATTCACTGGATCATAATTCTAGGAGGAAATACTGTTGTTCCCAGGCAGAGTTATCTCACCCGCTTAAACTGAAGCGCGACCTGATTAGAACCACAAATTGATAGAGACCAGTCGGTCGTTCGTCTTGTATTTTTCCGTACTATTACTTTTGATCGACAGGCATTTGAACAAACTCGGGGGAAAACGCATTTCAGTGTTCCAGAAAGACAGAGGGAGAGAGAGAAAGGAAGAGATTGTCATTTGCCATAGTACGTGTGTGCGTATGTGTACGTCCCTCTGGACTGGACTTATTTGTGGACAGAAACGAAGGTGTTTCCCGGTCTGAAAATCGTCACAATCAATAGACGTCAAAGAACGAGTGATACGTTGTGTACCTGCAGGCTGTTCTTATGATCGACGAGAGTAAAGGAACGAAAGGGGAAACGTGATGCCAGGCGTTTCGTCTGAACCACTCGGTCATTGAAAAGTGGTCTTTGAGGATGCATTTATGACGTCACGTGACTGCTTGTTTGATCACCGTCAGAGCGTTTTGTGCCCCACCTGTGTCCTACACGAAAATAACTTTCAACCAAAGTCGACCAAACAGTAGTTCATGCGAATTTTATTGTCCTTTCGAACAATATACTCACGTGAATGCTCATGTCGACATAACAACTCACTGTGTGTTCCTGAGGTCATTCTTCCCTGTCTTCTATGAAGATTGTGGGTGACTTCTTTGTTGGTGGCCATCCTCATAGAGGCTTCTTGGGACTAATGACCGGGTCTCACAAGGTATTAAAAATCTCATGTCGCATTTACTGCATGCAAACAAACTATATCCTTTGGAGATTTGTTCTGATTTTCTAGACACAATCACATATGAAAACTGAATCACTCGTTGTCAGTGAAAAGTAGCTTGATACCATGAATAATGACCAAGTGAAGCTTGACGCATTCGATTGAATACTATGAGCAATAAACTGATCCAAGGCTACAGTGAACCAACTGACGGTATACAAACCCAAATTTACTAGTAGTTATGTTTGGCTAGAACAATATCTAGCGTGACAGGCTAGTAAAATGTAATGTACGGTCACCTGGCATAGGTTAAGAATTTACCCTTACATCAACATGCACAGTCAGGAATGAGTGCTGATTTATGAACTTGAAAATGACGATGCTGATGACAGTCCAGAATCGCAGTGAAGTTTCCGGAACAGACACCGTTTTTTCAAGGACACACATCTAAAGACAAATCCGTTATTAAATACAAGAGGCAAAAAATGACAAAAACAGGCCAAATGTTTTTCGCCACTGGCGGTTAAGAAATGGACGTGGTGCTTGAAGGTCATTCCTTGAGTGATCACATTCATGTAAATCCGCGTTAGTTAAGGTGAATGACCCTGGCATACTGAAACGCATCGGTAGTGTTTATCTGATCACGCTTATAGGCCGAGTGATGTACAAAGGCGCTAGCAACAGCTTGCCAACGTCTCCGGTCCAATAAAGTTGGACAATGTTCCCGTGCCCGTTGGCTGAGTTGCCCAAAGACAAATGATCATATTGCCTGTCATTCGAATCAGTGCCTCATAAGTTAGCACAGATTAACTCCGTGGCTTCTTCGAATCCCCGACGAATAAATTCACCGGACTTGTGTGATCGGTGGTACGTTGAGCTCACATACTAGTTAGTCATTCTGTCGGGTAGAAATTATCAGAAAGAACTTCTTTCCCTTACCAGACAAGCGTACCAGTTGATTGCGTCCCTAGGTGAAAATCTGCCCAAAGACAAACGAAATGGCAGAAGTAGACCAAAATGATGCCCGTAAAGATAACAAGCACGTCTTATTGACACGGGTCGCATTGTGGATGGCTGCAGTGTAATTCATTATTCGTTTGTAAACCAAAAGGGTCACATTCCCCGTTTATCCACCCCTTCCAAAAAATCAATCAAAGATCGAGCGTCAAACCTAGGCGATCTGGGAAATGTCGGATAATTAGCAGTAATGTGCAGCCGGTCAGCCCCATGTAAATGTGTTTGTTTGCGCCAGTTTTCGCAACTGATTGATATCTCTTTCCCAAAACTGCTAATCATGACACGAGTTTCAGTCCCAGCCGCTACAGACGGTTATTTGGTTTTGTCAATTTCAATGGTCCAGACACTTCATGCATAGTTGTGTGAATTCTGTGAACAGATGTGTCAACAGCTGCTTGAGTCAAATCAAGAACGCCCACCTACTAGTTCAGCACTTATGTTCTGTTGCCCTGAAAACTCCTGTGTGATATGGTCTAAGCCCAAAAGACTTTCTGTGTCTGCACCACGAACTGCTGCGTCACTGCTTTGTCAGCCGTCCGGTTCATTATCTTCTGATCCGTGCTAGACAAACCGCGTTCATCTTAATGTTTTTTCTCATCTGTAGTATATCAGCAAGTTGCAAAACATGATTTCGCCTTGAAGATGTAAAGTCGAAAGCAAGCCTTTATCTTACGCGTTGTTGGCAAAAATTATCATCCTATTGTAGATACTAATGAGGTTTTTCAGCCTCACAGTGTCACGCGGGAAAAAGCTAGCTAGCTAGCTGCAATATGCCGGCTCTTTTTATCCCCTCGCACAAATAGCAAACAGCACTTAATTTCTGCCCCAATGTTCCTATTTTCACAAATACCGACACTCCCTGAAAATGTTTAGCACTGACTAGATGAACCGCCTTCAATCGGCTTTGAATTCCTTGTGTTCAAAAATGCACAGTGGCAAGCAGTGCATGGCAATAAGCCTAAAATTCATTCTACTCACCTTTGAGCAAAGATTACGCTGAATCAGCATGATAATCATCGATCGCTCGATCCAACCAGACTGAAGTAAGTTTGCCACCCCGGTGGTACCGCAATCTTTAGCGCATTCCACAACGGAAATCGTGGTGTCCTTGCATACTGATGCACTTTTTGTTTCAGCTGCATCGAGCAGGCTGTTGTTAATCGAAACAATTTATTTATTTACCTTTTCGTTTTGTTATTCCAACTTCAGACACTGGGGCAGTGTTGTCAAATGAAGACATATATAGCAAAACCCTTCTCAGTCTCCTTACCAGAAGACACGCCTCATCTTGAAGCGTTTTCGAACCTTCCATCAGCTTGACGCTAAACCCCATAAGAACTAGAGGTCTCACACTAATCCCCACAGGCTCCTTAAGACCGGGAAGTCCATTCCATAAGCAGTGGACTGTGCTTTTCTTATATCAATCCGTTATTCAGTCTGACTTCCGAACTGGTGCACTGGTTCGCTCTTCTAATCTGACAGCGAACTGTGAAAACAGACTACTGAAAGAGAACACCGGTCACCCTCCAAATCGATTCAGTTTGTTTCAGACCGATTCTGTCGAGTGGTTATGACAAAGCTTTCTATGAACGACCAGCAGCTGAACCGAAAAACCATATGTGCGCGTGCTTCTGCGTTTTTGTGCACCACTTAAAACAGTCGGGCAAAGTTTTTTCTCTGTGATTTCTCTAAACCTGCTCCTTGAAAGAAGACAAACCTGCCTGCTACTGCACAGCCTGATCGGCTTGGAAGGCTTGGTTGCTTGCTGTTCGCAGTAAGTTGAAGCCAGTCGGATGTAGTAAAGAACAAGCAAATGAATGGAATGAATCACGGTCACTTTTATCTCGGCATTTGCCACGTATGTGAATGATCGCGCAAAAAACGACTGGTATCTATCCTCTCTTTGGAAGGAAATGAAAGCCAGTCATTCTTGCTATACGGAACATTTCAAAGAAGCTGTGGACCTATAAATTTCAGAGGCACAATATACTGCTAGTAAGAGAGAAATTATACACCTTCGGAAAGGACCGTCAGGCTGTTTGCAGTATCAGACAGGAAAACAACCACCTACAAAAACAGAAGCACCGCGAATTCCGGCCTAATTATGTGCAAGATGGCGCACACTGTTTTCAGAGCCATAGCCGGCGCCAACCTCTACACAGCAAAGTAAGTGAAGTGACAGCCAACAAGGGAATTTACTGGAAACACGGATATTCCACCTGGTAATCTGTGCAACATGAACGAAACTAGCATAATATTTGAACGACACAAAGTAAAAAAAAACTCGCTCTTCTCAGATATATGGAATTTTTGGAAGGAATAAGCCTTTATATCAGGGGCTTTCCCTTACACAAGCAGATTATTAGTAGCTGACAAACCGAACGCCACTCTCAGGAAACTGATCTCAAGACCGAAGGACAACCAAGACAAAACCAAGAGGAACAGTGTGGCACACAAAAATCAAATGCAATAAATTCTGCAGTTGACAATCTTATAGGAAATTATGCAGAAGGTTAGAGAAACACAACACGGCGTCAACAGACATGGCTCCCTTTCCTTGATAGCCATGCACAAATACCAAGAAGGCCACAAAGGAAAACGCAAACATTTTGGCACACGGAGACACGGGAGGGAATTTCTGGTAGCATAAAACTCCACGGCGGACTCCATCAATTGATGCACTGAACTGAATCCGACTTATGCACCACTAGGCTCAAAGGACCAACATCTCAACCGGAACACTCAAGAAGATCCAAATATTTGATTGACAGACCAAGAAACAAGGAACACCATGGAGTCGAATCAACAAAGGTCACAGGGCGGAACCTAGATCAAGGGCAGAGGTGACTCCAGCAGCGACCATAGTACAAGGGCAGGGAAGTCCAAGCCCACAGGTCACATTAGCGTCGATCAATCAGGACACAGTATAACAGCAACTAATCGTGATCGAAGGTCAGTCCCAGCAAGCAGCACGTATATCAACACACGCACACACACACCACTAA